ACCTCCTCAAAGTAGAGTTTACCTTAATGATGTGGATGGAGTTCAGCTTTTGAAACATTCATGTGCTGATGTGGCACAACTCAAAATGAGAAGAAACACTTACAATCATCCATGAATTGAAATGAGGAATGTAAGAAATATGAATCTAGGAATATTGGAAGTTGTCAAAAATGAAATGGAACACATAACGATCAAAATCCTAAGCATTAGTGAGCTGAAAAGGACTGGTATTGACTATTTTGAATCAGATAATCATAGGTTTATGCAGGAAACAACAAATTGAAGAACAACACCATCACATTCATTGTCAAAAAGAACATTCAAGATCTACCTTAAAATACAACGCAATCTTTGATAGGATAATGTTCATACACACATACAAGGAACACCAGTTAATATTATTATTATTCAAATTTTCTCACAAACTTCTAAAGTCAACCAATAAAGCCAGTGATGATGAGAATGAAGAATTCTACCAACTTCTTCATTCTGAAATTGATAAATCATACATTCAAAATGTATTGATAATTACTGGTGATTGGAATGTGAAAGTTAGAAACAAAGAGGAAGGATCAGTATTTGGAAAATATGGCATTGGTGACAGTAATGATCCTGGAGATTACATGATAAAATTTTGCAAGACCAATGACTTCTTCATTGCAGACACCTTTTTTCAATATCTAAAAAGGTGTCTACATACCTGGACCTAACTGGATGGAATACACAGGAAACAAATTGACTACATTTATGGGAAGAGATGATGGAGAAGCTGAATATCATCAGCCAAAACAAGACTAGGGGCCAACTATCAATTGCTCATATGCAAATTTATGCTGAAGCCAAAGAAAATTAAAACATGTCCACAAGCGCCAACATATGACCTTGAGGATATTCCACCTGAGTTTAGAGACCATCTCAAGAACACATTTTATGCATTGTTGTTGTTAGGTGCCATCGAGTTGGTACCGACCCATAGTGACCTTTATGCACAGCAGAATGAAACACTGCCCGGTTCTGGGCCAACCTCACTACTGTTGCCACGCTTTGAGTCCACCGATGCTGCCACTTGGCTAATCTATCTCATTGGGGGTCTTCCTCTTTTTCTCTGACCCTCCACCCTACCAAACATGATATCCTTCTCCGTCCTGACAATATGTCCCTCCTGACAATATGTCCAAAGTATCAGAGATGAAGTTTGCCCATCTTGGCCTCTAAGGAGCACTCTGGCTGCACTTCTTCCAAAATGGATCTATTGGTTCTTTTGGCAGCCCATGGCACTTTCAGTATTCTTCTCCAACACCATAACTCAAAGGCATCAATTCTTCTCCGGTCTTCCTTATTCACTGTCCAGCTTTCGCATGCATATGAGGTTATTGAAAATACCATGGCTTGGGTCAGGCTCACCTTAGTCCTCAAGCTGACATCTTTGCTCTTCAACATTTTAAAAAGGTGTTGTGAAGCAGATTTGCCTAATGCAATACGTCGTTTGATTTCCTATATGCTGCTTCCGTGAGTGTTAATAGTTGATCAAAGAATGAAGTCCTCGACAATTTCAAGCTTTTCTCCATTGATAAGAATGTTGTTTATTGGTCCAATGGTAAGGATTTTTGTTTTCTTTACATTGAGATGTAATTCATACCGAAGGCTGTGCTCTTTGATCTTCATCAGTAAATGTTTTAAGTCCTCTTCACTTTCAGCAAGCAGTTGTATCATCTGTATATGATGCCACGTTTTTCTTCATAGAACCCAGCTTCTTGGATTATTTGCTCAGCATGCAGGTTGAATAAGTATGGTGAAAGAATGCAACCTTGTTGCACACCTTTCTTAATTTTAAAACATTCAGTGTTCCCATGTTCTGTTTGAACAACTGCCTCTTAGTCTAGGTACAGATTCCTCATGAGCACAATTAAATGTTCCAGAATACTCAAATTTCGCAATGTTGTCCATATCTTGTCATGATCCACACAACCAAAAGCCTTTGTGTAGTCAATAAAGCACAGGTAAACATCTTTCTGATATTCTCTGCTTTCAGCCAAGATCCATCAGACATCAGCAATGATATACCGCGTTCCACGACCTCTTCTGTATCCTGCTTGAAACTCTGGAAATTCTCTGTCAATGTATGCTTGCAGCCATTTCTGTATTACCTTTAACAAAACTTTACTCACATGGGATATCAAAGAGATTGTCCAATGATTTCCACATTCCGTTGGGTCACCTCTCTTTGGAATGGGAACAAATATGGATCTCTTCCAATCAGTCGGCCATATAGTTGTCTTCCAAATTTCTTGGCAGAGATGAGTGAATGCCTCTTGTGTTGCCTCAGTTTCTTGAAAGATTTCAATTTTTATTCCACCAATTCCTGGTGCCTTGTTCTTTGCCAAGTCTTTGCCTATTCCTTCAATGCACCTTGGACTTTCTCCTTCAGTATCAGTGTATGAATTTATGCATTAGACATTAATAATCAAACACAAGAAGAGTTGTGGGATGACATTAAGAATGTCATACAGGAAGAAAGCAAAAGGTCACTAAAAAGACAGAAAAATAAAGGCCAAAGTGAATGTCAGAAGAGACTCTGAAACTTGCTCTTGAAGGTCAAGAAGTTAAAGCAACTAGAAGAAATGAGGAAGTAAAAGAACTGAAGGTAAAATTTCAAAGGGCAGCTCAAGAAGACAAAGTCAAATATTATAATGAACTGTACAAAGACCTGGAGTTAAAAAACCAAAAGAGAAGAACACACTCAGCATTTATCAAGCTGAAAGAACAAGAAAAAAATTCAAGCTTCAAGTTGTAATATTGGAGAATTCTATTGTCAAAATATTGAATGATGCTTGGAACATCAAAAGAAGATGGAAGGAATAGTCACTGTACCAAAAAGAATTGGTCCATTTTCAATCATTTCAAAAGGTACCATACAATCAAGAATGGGAGGTATTAAAGGAAGAAGTGAAAGCTGCACTCAAGGAATTGGTGAAAAACAAGGCTCCAGGAATTCACAGAATACAAATTGAAATCTTTCAACAAATTGATGTAACACTGGAGGCGCTCATTCTTCTATGTCAAGAAATTTGGAAGACAGCTACCTGGCCAATCAATTGGAAGACATCCATTTTTGTTCCCATTCCAAAGAAAGGTGATCCAACAGAATACAAAAATCTTCTAAAAATTTCATTAATATCACAAGTAAGTAAAGTTTTGCTGAAGATAATTCAAAATTGATTACAGCAGTGCATTGATAAGGAGCTTCCAGAAATTCGAGATAGATTCAGAAGAGGACTTGGAACTAGGGATATCACTGTTAATGTCAGATAATCTTGGCTTGCTGGAAGCAGAAGATAACAGAAAGAATTACTTGTGCTTTATTGGCTATGCAAAGGCATTCGACTGTGTGGATCACAACAACCTATGGATAACATTAACAAGAATGGATATTCAAGAGCACTTCACTGTGGTCATAATGAACCTGTCCATAGGCCAAGTGGCAGTCATTCCAGTAGAACAGGAGACATTGAATGGTTTAAAATCAGGAAATGTGTGTGTGCCAGGACTGTATCCTTTCACCATACTTACTCAGTTTGTATACTGGGCAAATAATCTGAGAAGATGGATTTTATGAAGAAGAACATGGTATTAGGAAGACTTATTTGATGGAGGAGAATATTGAAAGTGCTATGGGCTGCCAAAAGAACAGATCTGTGTTGGAAGAAGTGCAGCTAGAGTGTTCCTTGGAGGCCAGGATGACCAAACTTTATCTCTCATACTTGGGACTTATTGTCAGATGGGACCAGTCTCTGGAGAAGGATATCATGTTTGGTAAAGTGAAGAAGGGCAGAGAAATAGAGGAAGACTTCCAGCAAGATGGATTGTCAAAATGGCAGCATCAATGGGCTCAAGTGTGGCAACAATTGTAAGGTTGGACCAGGACCAGGCAGTGTTTTTGTTCTGTTGTGCATAGGGTCAGAACTGATTCAACAGCACCTAACAACAATAGGACAAAGCATGTCAGTCTGCCAGGACCCTCTAACAATTGCTCTAGGTGAAATATCAAACAGATATCATGTCAGTGTTTGCCGCATGGGCAAAAAAGTCAAATTAGTAAGCATTTCCCCATATTCACTGTTCATTCAAAATATGTGAAGGAGAGGTGTCCTTTGTGTAGCTCCAGAAAGGAAACAATCATTCAGTCTTTTTTATTTAAAAAAAAAAAACCCACGTGAATTGTAATCATGTTGTAATGAATTGTAAACCTTACGGTAAACTGATGTGAGCTATTAAGCAGGTTACAAAAGTAGCAACAGACTGGATTCCAACAATCTAGGTTTTTCAAGCCATGGGTAATCAATCAGGGGTCTGAGAAGGAGTAACGTAAAAGTAACCCAGTACTCCCAACACCATTGATTTATAATTTATCACAGCAAGTTATCACACTCTGATTGCCTGCCTGCTTGAGGAAGTACACAATCAACTGCTATTTATCCATTGCAGATTTCTAACCTAGCACCCATGTAAATCATTGAGACAATGGAATCAAGATTAATTGTAATACTAACTTTAGAGAAAAATAACTTGAAAGGTACATATGCTACATTAGAAAATCATATAAGAGATTCAGGAGCCACATATAAATGCCTTTTGGATTATGTCCATTTATGGATGATTAATTTATCTATATGACCACTCCCCCCATTAATGTAGCTAATACAGAATTAGATATAGTCATTTACACAATGGAGGTGGTAATACTTATTACATGACCTTGATTTCATTAATTCCACCAGAGATTTGTTTTATTGCTTTTGTCAACTCTAATCCCGGTAAAGCCTGTTGTTGTGCATGCTATTTTGTTAACATTTGGGGATTTCTAACTATTAAAAGCACAGATCAAGGCATGATTATTCATGTTTGGAAAAATTTCCTAATAATTCTGACTGGGAAGAAAGCTAAGACTCTGTTTACCAGTCCTAAAGATAATGTTTCTGACTTGCTTGTCTCTTCTGCAGCAACCATCCACTATGGGTTATGCAAGACATATCATTAAGACCGAAGGTTTGGGACTCCAGGGCCTCAACAAAGGATTTACAGCTACTTTGGGACGTCATGGGATTTTCAACATGATTTATTTTGGCTTCTATTACAATGTCAAAAACATTGTTCCTGTCAACCAGGTAATTAGTTAATAAGTTGAAATCCTAGAGGAAAAAAATCAATAATAATAGGTATAGATGTGGAGTCACTGCTGAATACATATCTAATTATTTATCATCTAGTTTGATACTTGTATCAGTCTCATGCATTGAGTGTTTCATCCCTATTTAAAATTTGAAACTGAGGCTTGGAAAGTTCAAGTAAATGTCAAAGCAGAGACCTGAGCCCACATCTGATGCCCAAATGAATGCCCTTGAAGAATGTACACCGAATGCTTTCTGCTTGTCACTAATATGAATTTCTACAAACACATTGCTAATTTGTTTTATCTCACAGGCTTTGCTGTTGTTGTTGCTTTAAAGAGTATGTTTATTTCCCTACAATCATATGAGCATATTACCAAATATCTTTCTATTATCTGCCTAGCTGAGGAAGAGGCAATTGTTGGTCAATGGAAGTTTTGCGGTTTTAAAAAAATTGTTGTTGTTGAGTTTAAACATAGCAAACATACAGCAAATTCAGTAGTTTCAACACATAGTTTAGTGGTCGTGATAAAATCCTTTAAGTTGTATTCCATTTTTACCCTCTTTTCCAGAGCTGTTCTTCCTTCATTAACATAAACTCCCTGCCCACTACATTTCCTTTCTAATCTTTTAAATTTCTTTTGTCAATTTGATCCTATTGCTCTGAAAAGAACATAACACTCAATGTAGACAAGGATCATTTGCTTTTGATGTAAAATAAAAATAAGAATGATAATTTTTTAATGGTAGCTTACAAATACCCTCCAATTTTATCAATAAGATAAAAATATCCCATGATATTCTAAACCGGGCATCTTTGTTAACTGTAACATGGCAGCATGTCACCTGACAATCAAACTGATTACCTGCAATCCTGGAAATCACTAGTTGGGAAACATTTTCACATGCAGGCTCTTTCCCATGAGCATTCAATTCTGTATTTCATTTAGTAGAACAGTATTAAAGAACTTTTTATAAATCATAAAAATATTCCAACTATGGTTATCACCAGACTCTTGAGGAGAGTTGTACCTTTCTTTGCCCACCTCTCCCCTGTGTTATAGTAAAGGCCAGAACTTACCTCAAGTAACAGTTGAATGCAAGGCCTGTTCCAGTCATTGCCGCAGCTTCATAAACCACAGTTCTTAACCAAGTTTCACTGTATTTGGAAATCTCATTTAGTGAGTAGAAGTATACATTTCATTGGTCTGAAGTCTATACTGATTGGCTACAGTGTGTGTTGTCTAATGATTCTGACTCCTGTTGTCCTCAGAGGGCTCCTACTATCAAGTTAGTCATAGTATACACATACTGGTCCTGCGTGACGTTGGAGAGATCAACCCTTAAGACTTTGAGATTCTTTTTAGCAAGAACCATATACAAAATTTATAGGAAAATGAGGACCCCTTGTTCAGATATTATTTGACGTTTCAAGACAGCAGTAGAAGAGCATTAAACCAAGCCCAGGGCTCTTCCAAGGGCAGGGTCCTATGTGACACATCCCATGAAGCTGAGACATGTAAACCATGTAATATGGGAGATGGCGCTGCCTCCATTTCTCCAGCTATTTAAATACACAGATAAATTATATAAATATGTAGCTATTTATATGTTATAAAACCAGTTACTGGGTGGCAAACATTTAAGTGAGTAACAACTAAGGAAGGAAGGAAATAAGTAGGAAAGGGAAAGAAATTTGTTTTTTTGGGTGTTTTTTTCCATTTTGTTGTTGTGGCTAAGTGCCCTTGAGTCAATTTTGATAGCAACCCTGCATAGGGTTTCCGATGGGGAATGGCTGATGGGTTTGAACCACAGACCTTGCAGCTCAAACCTTGTAGTCCAGTGCTTATCTTATAGTGCCACACCAAGACTGCTTTTGTTGTTGATGTTAAGTGCTGTCCAGTCGGTTTCAACACCCAGCGACCTTGTATAGGGTTTACGAGGAGTGGCTCATGAGTTTGAACTGCCAACCTTATGATTCACACTGACCTTGTGGTCCAGTGCTTACCCTACAGCACTATACCAGGACTCTTTCGCAGATACTAAAGAGCTATGTTGGCATTTAAACTGGTCATTATATTAGCTGATACTAGTTTATAAGCTAGGTAACAAGGAGAAAACTTAACAGCTAAAGGACTTACAACTAGAATCTCAGTGAGTCTAACCCAAAGCAAACAGTGCTCCAGAGGAAAAAGAATTAGGAATTTTAAGGTCACATATAACACAATAGAGTCTTTATATTTAAAAAGTGAAATATTTATTTGGGGAAATGATTCTGAAAATTGAGGTTTCCGTGTTGCCAGGATAAGTTTTCCCAAGTTACCTCAGCAGGCTGCTGGAGCAGACACGTTTGTGGACTGGAACTAAACTCCTGATAATGACTTCAGCAGTGTAAAGAGGATCCCACTACCCAGGGAAACCTCTGGAGAATACACTTGGACAGAAGATGTGTGAAGCGAACTGTTCTTCCCATGTTTTATTATATCCAGTATCTGTCCAATTTTTGTTCATTACATTCAGTGAACTGTCCAGCAGCAACTTGCACAAGGAATCCTCTATTAACTAACACTTCCGTATCTAGTTAGTGAGTGATTAATTACGTAACCAGGACCCTGCAGAAGACTAAAGTATCATCTGTTTCTTCCAAAAAAAAAAAATAGATGCATTTTTGTTTGCAAGAGTTTCCAAGCTTTAACTTTTATTTTATTGTGATTTTTATAATGCTGACAGCTACTGACTGGAGCACATCATTCCTGCTTCTCCATGACAAAGTTAGTGCAATATTGTGTCACTGAAAAAAACAAAAGTTGATAAAATTCCACCTGCAATGGGTTATACTGAGACACTAGTGAAGAAAGTTAAATAGCTACTTTTTGTATACTTGCTGTTGTTGGTACATTCTGCCAAGTTGTTTCTGACTCAGAGCGACTGCACAGGGTTTCCGAGGCTGTAAGTCTTTACAGGAGCAGAAAGACTCATCTTTCTCCCACCGAACGGCTGGTGGTTTTGAATTTCTGACCTTGAAGTTAACAGCCCCACTTGTAACCACTATGCTGCCAGAGCTCCTTCTAAAGAGCACTTGTTGTTGTTGTTGTTAAGTACCGTGGAGTCAGTTCCAACTCATAGTGACCCTGTACAGGGTTTCCAAGGCCGTAAATCTTTACTGGAGCAGAAAGCCTCATCTTTCACCCGCGGAACCGCTGGTAATTTCCAACTGCTGACCTTGAGGTTGGCAGCCCGACTCGTAACCACTACACTACCAGAAGGTTGTTTGTTTGTTTTCACTTTTTATTGTCTCTTGGGTGAAGGTTAACAGAGCAGATCAGTTTTTTATTCAACAATTTATACACATTTTGTTTTATGTCCTTAATTGCAATCCCCACAATGTAACATCACTTGTCCCACTTCCTCCTGTGTTTCCTAGTCCCATTTCTTCTTCTTTCCTAACCCTTCTGAATTTTGTCCTTAGGTAGATACTGCCCTTTTGATTTCAAATAGTTGATGATTCTAAGGTGTGTGGACCTCTCTAGTGTTTTTGTTCCTCTTGTATCAATTGTTTGACTGAAAATTGAGCCCTGGAGTAAATTCATTGTCAAACCTAAAGAGTGACTAAGGGCAGGTTTTCTGTATCCAACCAGTCAACCTTGTCTTTGTTATGATTTAGGATTTTGTTCTTCAGTATCGCCCATTCCATCCAAGACCTTCTAATGTGATCCCTTTCAAAGCAGTGGGAAGTCGTAACTGAGAACCATGGAGTCCTTCTGATCTCAGGATCATGGAGACTGATGCTCAGGTGGTCCATTAGTCCAATGAACTAATTGTTTGACATATGTCTTCAATTTTTATCACTCTGCTTTCCTCCAGACAGGGTAAGATGTATAGTTTCACCTTAGATGGCCGCTCATGAGCTTCTAAGATCCCAGTCTCTACTTACCAAAGTAGGATATTCCGCGTTGTTTTATGGACTGTGTTATGCCAATTGATGGTGTCCACCAAGCCTGCTATCCTGAATCCACAGTCCCAACAACTCCTTCCCTCAGAGTGTTTGGTTATGTCTAAGAAGTTCTCATAACTTTCCCCCTATCTGCTCCACCACAGTGATAGATATATTTGCAGCAAAGTTAAATACACATGTATAGAGATCCTCTGTCAAATTTATATATATTCATGGGTATACTCATTTTCTCCCTCCCGTACCCATTCAGCCTGTATGTCTATCCATGTCTCTACTCTTCTTGCAGGATATTGTGTATATAACAGTAGTTACCTCTGCCAACAAAAATTTTTAAGCAGAGGAAGTACCTGATCACATTTTTACCTTAAAAACATCACTCTGACTGCAGTGCGGAGAAAGAACAGAATGGAGCTTTGGGGGACGAGTGAGGGAAAGACATAGTGTATGCTTGGAAATTATTTTAGTGTAAAATGGGGGGGGGGGGACTTGGACTGCAGTGTTCATGATGGAAATAAAAAGTAGACAGACCTGAGAAGTATTCTGGAGGCAAAATACATTGACTATGGTGATGGTATATGTATGCATGTTGAGAAAAGGAAGGGAGTAAAGATGATGCCTGGGATAGTTGAAAACAGGATGCCATTTATAAGAAAAAAACCATTGGAAGATAAAGAGGTTTGTGCAGAATATTATGGGCTCAGCCAAGACACTGTGAGTTCAACTGCACTTGGAACACCAGAGTATAGACATTGAGTTGGGAGTTGGCTGTGGGTTCTAGAGTTCAAGAGGAGATATCAGAGCTGGAGTTAGACACTTACCATCAGAAGTTATCAGCATACCTAGATGAGAGAGAAAGATTATCTCTTACTGGTTGAATGAGTTTGGGTCATTCACTTCTCCGCTCTGAGCATCAGTTTTTGTTTTCTTTTTCTGTGAATTGGAAAGTGCAAACTGTTCTTTCTACCTGATTGTGCTGTGTTGAGAATGAAAATAAATTATTTACGAAATCATTTGTGAATTTTAAAGTGCCAAGGAATTCTTA